GATTATGCCAGTTTTACAGATTATGATTTTTCCATCATTTTAGCTGCCTTTTGAACCCTCTACGTTGCCTTGAAAGTTGGGGAGCTTAGAACCAGTCGTACTGTGTACAGATTTAATGTTGTTTCAAAACATAAATCTTTCTATTATGTATTTGCCCTTTTGCGTATTTTTAAATTTTCTTGTTATGAATGTTTGTTAGAGAGCAGTAAACAATGATACTGCTAAGTTCAGGTTTTAAATTTCTCGCTTTTTCTGATGCGTGATAAAGCTAGAAGATGGAAGGAAGTACTTGCCATGTAGTGGGCAGATACTAAATAGTTATATGGTTGTCGTGTCAGTACCTACTTGGTAATATCATATATGCCTCCCTCAATTCTAATCTGTTTATTCTTCACTGATACCACTGTTATAATAATCATATAGCTGAGAATATTTTAATACTAATATCACATTTTTTATAGCCATCCTTAGTGACATTTAATTGCTGTGAAAATGTTCATTTTTGAAGAATTTGTTTCCAGGAACTAGTCGTTTACCAAGTATTTTCCAGATCTGTATAGGTCATTAGAAATAAAGTTTCCATTTTTTTAGACAGTCATATTCATTTTACGTGATAAAAAAATTTATTTAAATTAATTGATATTCCTTCATTGAAAGCTTCAAAGAGAAAAGGTCATTGAGCATTTGCTTTCTTTTGTGTTATGATTCATTCAGTGAATAATCCATTATATGTAATATTTAATCTGAAAATTTTATCCTAAATGTACATCCTACTAATTTATTTCATAAAATACAGTAAATTTTTTTTTTTGAGTTGGAGTTTCACTCTTGTTGCCCAGGCTGGAGTGCAATGGTGCAATCTTGACTCATCGCAACCTCTGCCTTCCAGGTTCAAGCCATTCTCCTGCTCAGCCTCCTGAGTAGCTGGGATTACAGGCATGCACCACCATGCCTAGCTAATTTTGTATTTTTAGTAGATAGGATTTCTCCATGTTGGTCAGGCTGGTTTCGAACTCCCGACCTCAGGTGATCCTCCTGCCTCAGCCTCCTAAAGTGCTGGGATTACAGGCGTGAGCCACTGAGCCCAGCCTCAATAAAATATTTTTTTAATAGGACTGTTGAAATTCAGAAGGCAAAGATATGATTGAGTCCATTTTATTAAATTTTAAGGAAAAGGACCCTCACTGGGGGACTGGCTGCCTTTTAACAATCCGTAGCATTTTTACAAATTCTACTAGTTCCCGCTCTCTGCAAAGAAAAAGCTTTTTCCACCAACGTATTCAGTAGATCTATTTTTTATTGTTGCCTTAGGTGGGGAAGAAAACTTCATGTTTTTCATCTTTCATAACTGAATTGTTACAATTCACACTCTTAAACTAAGAGGAAAAACTCTAAAATATAAGGAGCATTTTTAGTTATTTTTAAACAAGGAAAGTCATTTATCTTAAATTGAGAATGAAGTTTTTTTTTCCCCTTCTAATCTAAAACTTTAGGAAAATTTCCTAAAGTTTATAAAAGGATTTTGTAGTTTGACTTTCTTTAACACAATAAGAAATAAATGTAAATATTGGCAGGCCTGTAAACCTCCAAACAGTTTTTTGTGATATAAGAAACTAGTATTTAACTATTAGTGTTGCCATCATAATTTCATTAGTGTGGCTTCTTTACACACTTTCTCCAGTGACGCAAATACAGACGTGATTTTTTGGAACATCAGACTTATGGCTGCCTTCTCTCTTCTTCATTACTTATGTTGGACACACTGTCATTTTCACTTGCCAAAAAAAATCCCACAGTTCAGTAGACTTCAGTTTTGAGGTCTTTCTTGTCCTTAGACCACCAATAGCTTTGTCTGTTGGCGATCAGAAATTGGACACTTCTTTTTGGTGTTTAACAAACCAGACTGTTACTTGACTTCTAAGGAAGAATATAGCAAAACAACAAATTTTCTAAGCAACGTCACTGGAAACAACAGCAAATCCCTTTGGAATGCATTCTTTGGAACACAGGCCAAATTATTATTTTTTATCAAGCTTTATGAGATTTGTATTAAGGTAGGGATAATAAGTCTCAGAATCAAGTAAGATATTTGCAATTGTGTATATTTTTCTTTACCCATATGCATACACAGAAATGACTAAAAATACCAAATTGTATGCATATCTGTGCTGTTCTGCTGTAAGCAGACCCCAGAAACTAAGGTTCACATTTGGAGCTTACAGGTTTAAGTTTCTATTATTCTTATACTATAATCAATTCCATGAAGCTGATGTTCAAATAGAGGGCTTATCTAATTCTACCAACTTCTCTGTTCCCCATTCCTCCCTTCCCACCCATTGCTTCCCCTCACCTCCACCCAATATACACTTTCTTTGCTATATTTTAGGAAATTTTTTTTCAACCTCATTCTCCTCCCTTCTCTTTTCTTGGCTTTGTAACTTATTTGTGTGACCTTTCCAGTGATGTCCTGTGGATTATGCTAAAGTATAATAAATAAATCACATGCTTGAGTTTGTAGAAAGACCTTATACTATCAAACCATAGTTAATAGAAGCCGAAAGGTCTTTTTAAAGAACTATGACATTAACTCTTCTCTTCTCCTCTTTTTTTCCTAGCACTCATATTTTTTTTGTGGAATGTTTCAAACTCCTAACTTACCCCCTGTTATCATAAATAATTGAATGGCATTTAATTATCAAGTTAAATTCCCAGCTGTGTCATTCAAGTAATCAGCTTTCTCCTCTACTATTAAAATTAATTTTGTATTAAGTATGTTTTGTTTTTAAATATGTTTCATTCAAGTCTTAGTTTTAGATAATATATTCAAAAGTGGTGTTAGTTTTAATTTCTTGCTTTCTTTATTCCAAACTTTAGTCTGTTCACATTGGATGCCCCTAGCAAGTGGGCTTTTTCCTTTTTGTTTTTCTCTTTTTTGGTCATTAAACTTATCTTCCACCTTCTTTGACTTCGAAACCTATTATAATGCACTTTTCAGAATATCTTAAAAATTGCCTCATGGAACAATATTGCTTTCAGAGGTATGGTTTTGAAGAGAATTCAAAGATGGTGCTATTTATATTGATTCGTGAAAATATTTAGAATGCACTTAAGTATTTATTTTTACCTGAGTCTTAGTAAGCTAAATTTTACTAATTTATAAGATAAAACACAACAGTTACCAAGATAAGTGTATAAATGGGCCTGCAAATGACCACCTTGCCTTTGCTACTTCTCATGAGAGTCTTCTTAGTAACCTGTAAACTCAAAAGAAAGCCTCTGCTTTCCTAGCCTTATTTAACCTAGCAGGCTGTGAAAGGGGATGTAGGTATTTTTTCCTCCATAGCCAAAATAAGTGATTATGACTCTTTCTATAGCTATCTTTTCTGGGCAGTTTTTTAAAAAGTAAATAAAAATTAAATTCTTTGACATAAAATGTTCTGATTTAAAAAAAGGAGGATTAAATTTAATGATTTAACTTAATTTGGCAAGATCTGTGAGATACAAGATACTATGTTATATATAGTGTCCTTAACTTTGAAGACTTTCCATATTAAATTTGTAATAAATTTAGCTCTCACGTTTGTACATATGCATGCCTGGACTTAAACTGAGATTTTATTGGGAAATATAAAATCAGCATTTTGGAGGGGAAGGAGTATATCTGGACAAGTATGTACTTAAAAGTTTGAGACAAGTGTACATATGATAGGCTATATAAAGATTTGTGTGTATTTCTAAGTATTTGTGTTTTTCATTTTAGACAAACTCCTATCCCATCTTCAAGATGTATATTTCAAGATAGCTATGGGAGAGGAGTTCCTACCACAAATAATAAATATTTGAGGTGATGGATATGCTAAATAGCCTAATTTGATTATTCCTCAATGTCTACATGTTTCAAAACAACACATTATACACAAAAACATGTGTAATTATTATTTGGCAATTAAAAAGTAAAAAAATGAACATCACAACTGGCTAATGATAAAGGAAAAGTGTACAACAGCAATAGAGAGGTGACTGGGCTTTTTCCTGAGTGTGCCTGGGTGTACTTTCCTTCTTATGCCACACGGGGTGAGAGAGAGGGTCCCATGCCGTGACCCTGCCTCCTTTAAGGAGATAGAATCAAGGCCCTCAAATTGAACACATCAGTTAAGTGTTTCTTATCCTTGGGGATGGTGTGAAGAGAGGGGAGTTGACAGAGATCTGATTACATCTTCTCCCCTTGGAGCTTTACCAAGTGAACTTGGAATAAATGTTTAGTTATACATCAAGTCTCTTTCCTTTTCAAGTAAATGTGTCTATTTCTGTCATATTCTTTTCTTACTGTTTTCATATTCTTAACCTGAAGTCTGAGATTCACGTGTTTTTACTATTTTTGTAACGTATATACTTCTAAAATTGTCATTAGTTAGTGTTTGCACCGGTGTTGGGAAGATGTGTAATATAGTCCCAGGGAGGTTCTTGAATTAGATTTGATTTTTGTGTCTAAAGTGTTCAAATGGAATTGAACTGTTTGCTTAATAAAAGAACATTAATGTAGCTATACTTAAGAGCAGAAGTCTCTGAAATCTTTGAAAAGATACCTATTCATATTGTTAACTATTCATTGTATCACTTCAGCTGGTATTTTAATCATTTGAGTAATATTTCCTTTCTTTTGGTGATATAAGAAGAGTGAGAATATGATTTCTGTTCTCTATACAGCAGAATTAGTAATGAATAAGCTCAAATGATGTAGTTTGGGCTTATGTGGTATTGGATAAGACTGATTCTGTTAGGTCAATGTAAAATGAGTACTTCACTAGATTATTCAAGTCCTCGGCACATGTTAATTTAAAAGTAGAATAAGAACTCTTAAATAATGAGGCATCTAAAGGTCTTGTTGGTATGTGTAGACATATAGGTAGACATAAAGGTCTTGATGGTATGTGATGGTATGTGTAGACATATAAAGGAGGCATTTTTAATGATGAAATTATCGTATATCCTTTGCTTAGGGTGTACCAGTGATGGCAATAAGAAACAAAATGATATCAGAAGGACTAGACCCAGATCTTCTTGAGTAAGTAATTCTTCTAATATAATTATATTATTGCCAGGACATTGAATTTGTCAGTTATAATAAAAATATTTCAAATTCTCTATATTTTTATCCCTACAGTGTTTTATGGTTGAGGATATCATCTTTGTAAATAGTGTCTCTGTTATGTTACCAAAAAGAAAAATATCCTATTCTACTAAAACCGCCTTTACACATTTTAGGAACAGTTTCAATAGATTAGTAATGATTCTAGATATCCAAAGGAGCTGGAATTTAATGACAGTTGTTTTTTTGTTTGGTTTGGTTTCCTTTTTGTACTACCTCTTGGTTTTTTGTTTGTTTGTTTGTCCTTTTTTAGTGGGGGGTGATTATTATCTATGGGGGGTAGATGATTTCATTTAAGATCTCAGTGTGTAAGAAATTTAGTCTGCTATAATCTAGGTTAAGCCAGATTGAGAAATAAATAGGCTAAAGTTTCCCTAGGTCTATGTTAATGATTATTAAGAAACTAGATACTAATTTATGTGAGTTTTTTTAACCTGAAAGTATTTAATCCCTTATTGTGTGAATTTTATAAAATATTTTTGAGAAATGATAAAAAAAATTGTAGCTCAGAAATTTGACAACAATTTATTTCATCCAAACAAATCAAATCTGGCTGCATAGTTCAGTTCATCTTGTATAAAATATATTGTAATAGATTCTTCAGAAGAATTCTGTTTTCCAAGTATCTAGGTACTTGTAAAGAATCTTTCCAGTTTGGGGTTGTAGTTCACCCCAATGTATTTAGCTGCACACTCCAACCATTCATTACTGTACTAGCAGAGTATACTTTGGAATTTTTCTTGGCTCTCAGTCCTCCAAGAAAAGGTGTACACTTTGGTGGTAAAACATTATGAAGTAGTCTTTGTCTCATATTTTATCTGCCAAAATATGAAATTTATGAATTCTTTTAAAGTCTACAAGAATAAATTTCAAACATATATCTACAGTTGGTATACATCCAAGTAGCAAACAGTTCAAGTACAATGGCATAGCTTGGCAACTTGAACTGAAGGATCTCTGAGATATTTGGCATTTGTTCTGGAAATTGTTTCTGACACACACATTGAAAGCCAGATGGATTGTGATACATATTTTAATGTGAATCAGACCTATAGGTTCAATCCATTTTGGTACTCATTGCAGTATATAGGTTGTAAATATATTTAACATTAACTATGACCACCTTTTGCTTCTGGAAATACAGTTAGACCTCCTATAATAACAGAGAACTAAAATTACCTTTAAAATTATTGTCTTTTTCTAGAGAAAATATAATAAGTGGAAAACTAGCACCCTGTAAGCATCAGCATGTGCTGGATATCCAAGACTTTTACCTGCTACTGGCTTCATTTCATCCCCTGCCCAGCCTAAACCTACTTCATAATCCTTTACTTCAACCAGCTACCTGTACTAGCAACTTGATAATCATCCTCGATTCTGTCTTCTTCCTTACCCACTACAGTGTCAATCACTATGTGTTCTCATTTTTAATATCTCTCACGTCTCACCGTATACCTCCATATCCATTGCTGTTAAGTTCACGCCCTCATCATTTGTCATCTGAATTACTATAGTAGCTACTGATTGGTTTTCCTGGTCTCTTTCAAGCCATCCACTAAAGCCTGAGTGGATCTCTTCATACTTCATTCTTGCTTCACATCTTCCTGTGACCCTCCACTGCCTTCAACATGTAGTCTAACATCTTAGTATTGCATAGAAATGCTTTTATCATCAAGATGCAGATTCTCTCACTAGCATCCTCTCTTGCGTTTCTTTCACATATGCCTATTTCATATAGCCATAGTGAACTACTTGCAGTTCTCTGAATGTATCATTTTCCTATTCCCTTTTGGTGTCTTTAAATGTTCTCCTTTCTCTCTGTGGAACTCCCTTCCCCCATCTTACTGGCCTGGCTAACCTATTATTCTTCAAGACTCCATCAGGTATCACCACCTGATAGAGTCCATAGGTAACTACCATGGGGGAAGATCCCAGGCCCTTCAACATTTCGTTGTGTCTCGCTTGGCCAGTTTGAGGGTATTTCATTGTCTATAAATGTTGAGAAACATTCAGTTGTGAGGTAGTGCCAAGTTTAAGGGTAGAATTCCAGTAACAATTAACATTGTCTTACAGAAAAGCTGCTCCTCAACCACAGCCTGGAGCCTGAATTCTGACCCATTACCTCATATGCACATGCCATTAGTCACCAGGGGCACTGGTTACAGGGGGGATGACTCACTATAACCTATCACCACTACTAGCAACCCAGTTTCAACTGTATTTAGCTAGATATGATAAGTGCAATCAACTACCGTGTTAACAGAGGAATTATGGTGCTTTTGGAATCATGTTTACATAAAAGTTATGGAGCCTCACTTCAGGAGAGAAGTATGAGATGATGAAAGAGAAGAAAATGTGCCATCCAAGGGAAGAGTACACTTTTATTTAGAATCTTAGGTACATTTTAAGCCTCAGCCAAGAACTTTCAGTAAAGATTGTTCTGTGTTCTTTTTTCTTTTAAAGTATAAACATACACTTTATTTTTTATTAGCTTTAAGTAGTAAGACAAACTCATACAACTGTTGGAAGAAATGGCCTAGCTCTGTCTGCACTGAGCAAAGGGCAAAACTGAGGTTAATACAGAAATAAATACTGATCAGAAAATATATTGCTATTTGATTGGCTTATTTGTATGAAAAATTGGAAGCTAAGAGTACATAATTTTAAATCAAAAATATTTACATGATAAGAGAGAAGAGATCCTAGCAATTTTCCCAGGAAAATGACTATTACAGAATTTAGAAAGTCTATAAAACTGTAGAAAATGCGTGATAATTGCTAAGTAAATATTGGATTTGATTCACGTGATTGTTTTTAAAAATTAAATTTTTTGAAAATAACAATCATTTATATATAACCAAGAATTAGTCCTGTTTAGCTTCTAAAAATTAGTTTCACTACCAGTGAGATAAAAAGATATGTGAAAGAGTATTTGTCATCAAAATACTCAAAAGAGTTAAGGAGAAAATGGAAAAATTTGATTGGTTTTTGGCCAAAGGTTAATACATTCAGAAATATACAATGGGTAAATCACGCCTTAAATATTCTTTCAATCACTGCCTAGATTTTCTTGCTTAGAAAAAAAGAAAAAAGTTTCACCCCATCCTGTTCTGTACTCTTACATTTATGTCCCTGAACTAGCGTTACTATTGTTACCTAGTAATTGCTACTTTTACAATTCTAGGATAAACAGACTAGCTTCTGGACTTGCCCATGGGCAAGTCATGAAATTCACAATGGTTGAGGCTCAGGATGAGGCTGACTTTAGAGATGGTCTACTTACTTGTATTCAGATTCTACCCAGCCACTTTCTAGTTGTATAACCTTGGTCTGATTACCAAACCTCTCTGTGCATCAGTTTCCTCATCAGTAAAATGGGAAATAGAAGAGTTCGCTCCTTATAGAGTTGTTCAGACTAGATAGATAATGATGTAAGCACTCAGCACACACAGCTCTGGATAAGCAGTAAATGTTTAATACATATTAGTTGTGATTTATGAATGTTTTAATCAAGGACTATGTAGCAAATTCTAGACAATGGATTTATCAGGCTTTGGATAACAACTTGTTTATAATCCTGTAGTTGCCTATATACTATTATGTTCTCAACAAAGACGTATTTAACATATACAGAGTAGTTATCTTTTTAAATTATATTCTGTTTTCTCAAACTGAGAACCTATATTGTTAACTTTGCTTTAAAGAACAGATTTCTGAATTTGAAGTTCAGTTGAACACACTCCTAACCTTAGTGGGAGGGTGCAGTGTGCAACTTATCGATTTGACTAAAGAAAGCATATAATTGAGTTCAAGTTACTGTGCAGACTTTGAACAGAACCAGCTCAGTTGGCATTTCTCCTGGATATATCTATCCAAAAGACATTTATACCATCCTCCCAGACGGTGGAATGACCACTCTTATGGTTGCCAGAAATAAAAGTAGCCACCTTAGCCTACTTATCGCTGAGACAAGAGGGGATTTATTATTGTTAAACAAAAGGATACTGGAAAGCAAGAAAACTTTTTTTTACATGGCATGCCCAGCAGATTTTCCTGCCCTCTAAGATCATTCCTTATCTGCCAGGGGGATCTTTACCTCCTGCTATACAACAGCATAGTGGAGTAAAGATTGACTTTTAGCTGATTGAGGACAGATTAGACCTCAGTTGCACAACTGGACATGCAAAAATAGGGTTTTTACTCTTTCCATTTTGTTAGTTTTTGCTGAGCTACGTTCTCCATTTAATGTAATTACCAGTCCTCATTCATTAGCTGGCAGACACTAGCTAGAAAGTATAGGACAAACCATATCAAAAATTGTAATTGGTCTACTTTTAGAGAACTTGATCATAAGAATGAGAGAGATAATAGATATATCAAAGAGGAGATGTTAGAAAGCAGTTGTGGGTCTGTGTGTGGCTAGCAAGCAAGTGGCAGAGGAGCTGCTGGGAAATAAAGGGTCCCAAGACCAATAGCAAAAGTCCATCCTACCTAAAACAGCTGCTTTTCTTTTTCTTCATGATATTAGGCATTAAATTGTTTTCATGGTTGCAGGAGTCTACCTACTAAGACAAAGAACAGGATATACCTGTCTTGATGAGAATTCAAAAGAGAAAAGACCAAATTAATCTCACTAGCTACTATAATTCAAAGTCAAAATTGTTACATTTTTAATTACCCAGAGGTCCTTATTAAGTCAATACAATCTAATTCAAGAATCTTAGTGTTTTGGGTCTTGTTTTTCTTTTTTTTTTTTTTTTTTTTTACACAGAATTTTGCTCTTGTCACCCAGGTTGGAGTGCAGTGGTGCAGTCTCACCTCACTGCAACCTCTGCCTCCTGGGTTCAAGTGATTCTCCTGCCTCAGCCTCCCAAGCAGCTGGGATTACAGGCACATGCCACCATGCCTGGCTAATTTTTGTATTTTTAGTAGAGACAAGGTTTCACCATGTTGGCCAGGCTGGTCTCAAACTCCTGACCTCAGGTGATCTACCCACCTCAGTCTCCCAAAGTGCTGGGATTACAGGTGTGAGCCACGACACCTGTCTCTCTTAAGACCACCTATTGCCATCGCATAGCTCTGACAGACCATTAATGGACAACAGTACCATGTGACATTATAACTTTATGTGTGTGTAGTTGCCATTAGTGATTTGAATAATAACTACCTCATCATCTCCTACTCAGCAATATTTTTACTGACAATGTTTTTGGTACTTAATCTGCTTTAAATTCAATGTTTTTAAATGTCTAGAAAATGAAAAATGTTTTTAAACTCTTTATCTTACATGTTTTCCCAAAGAATGTTTGGTTTTTGTGTCCTTAAAGTAGCTAGTTTTAAACACAAATACAAATCTTCCTTTAATGAAAACAAATTAAACCAACAATATTGGTATTTTAGGACTCTCTTCATATTTAGGATGGCAGAAATCAACTCAAACTAGTTTATGTAAGAAGGGAAGTTATGGACTCTCATAGCTGAAAAATCTAGGTAAGGACAGGATCTAGGGACTCAGTGTCATCAGGGCTGGCTGACTGGCATTCTTCTCTCCCCACTTCATTCTACCTTTACTTCCTTGGTGTAATAAACCGTGTCTCTCCTAGTACTGATGAGTTTCCTCTCTGAAGCCTGGGAACATAGCCCCCCAGAATATTGCTAGTTTTTCCAGTTGAACAGAGAGAGAGTTCCCTCTTCTCCATAACTCATAGCTCATTTATAAGGAAACATTCTGACTAGCCCTGCTTGAATTGTGTGCCTTTCCTTGAATCCATCTCTCTCTCGCTGCAAGGGAATAGATTCCTGTGATTAGCCAGGCCTAGACTGTGTGACTGAAACAAGGAAGTGGATAGGGAAAAGATGAGGACAGCGAGGATTCTAGTTGACAACCTTCACTGATTCACATCAATGGGAGAAGAGTGGGTGTCAAAATTAGAATGTGCACAGCATCTGGTATGCTAAAAAGGGCAGATTTGTATATACTTCGTCCTTTCTCCTGCACCTTTCTATATTTTGGCTCATTTTTAGTTGAGGTCAACCTAGTAACTTCTTTGAAAAGATATATATTTTTAAGATGTATCTTAAAAATATTTTTAAGATATATTTTTAAGATATAAGTTTAATAATTAGCTTAAACTTAAACTTTTTAAAAATTTGCTTTTATTAAGAATTTTGCTGATAATTTTGGTGTCACAAATATAAATATGCTTATTAAAATGTAGCCACCAATTTAGTGTTTTTATTGTAACCACCAAAGATTGAAATTGTTAAAAAAAAATACGCATGATATTCATGATATATATTTTTCTGTATTTTGTTGATATAGTCTTTTTTGGAAATTCACTTATATATTTAAAATAACAAGAGACTTATTATAAAGTCCTCATTTCCAAATTTTTAGTAGCAAAGTGTGTTTTCTTTGAATTGGGAGAAGCTAAACTTTAGTAGTTTAAGGTAGCAACTTTTTCAAATATGTCTTTAAATTTCTTTCCATGAAAAACAACTTATAGGGTAAAGTAAGAACATTTATGATCAAAATATGCAGAGCCAAATTTCTGTTCCCCTTGAAAATACAAATATCCAGACTGGAAATGATGGTATTGCTGTGAGTTTTATTATTACTAGTAATACTTAAAAGACTTTACAACTTACAAAATGCTTTCCTATCTTCATTTGATTCTTGTGGCTTGCTTTTCTTTTTTGTACCCAAAGAGAACTAGTATGTACTTTTTCTTTTGTTCTCCTGGCAATTCCAATTTCAAGTAGCATAAAATTTATTTTAACATGAATGAGGGGGCCAGGCACGGTGGCTCATGCCTGTAATCCCAGCACTTTGGGAGGCTGAGGCAAGCAGATCACCTGAAGTCAGGAATTCGAGACCAGCCTGGCCAACATGGTGAAACCCTGTCTCTCCTAAAAAATACAAAAATTAGCTGGGTGTGGTGGCAGGCTTCTGTAATCCCAGCTACTTGGGAGGCGGAGGCAGGGAGAATTGCTTGAACCTGGGAGGTGGAGGTTGGAGTGAGCAAGATGGTGCCACTGCACTCCAGCCTCTCTAAATAAATAAATAAGCGAGACTTCATCTCTAAATAAATAAATAAATAATAAAATAAAATAAAATGAATGAGGAGCCAGGTACAGTGGCTTATGCCTGTAATCTCAACACTTTGGGAGGACAAGGGTAGAGGATCACTTGAAGCCAGGAGTTCTAAACCAGATTGGGCAACAAAGTGAGACCTCATCTTTACAAAAAATTAAATTAGCCAGGCGCAATGGTGTGTATCTGCAGTCCCAACTACTTGGGAGGCTAAGGCAGGAGGATCACTTGAGCCCAGGAGGTTAGGTTATAGTGAGCTCTGACCATGCCGCTGCACTCCAGCCTGGGCAACAGAATGAGATATCCCCAATAAATAAACAAACAAAGACAATAATAAGTATTGGTAAGGATATGAAGAAATTGGAGCCCCTGTGCATTGTTGGTGGGAATATAAAATGATGCAGCTGCTATAGAAAAGAGTACTGTGATCTTTCAAAAAATTAAAAATAGAATTATCATTCAGCACTTCCACTTTGGGGCATGTACCCAAAAGAATTGAAAGCAGAGTCTCAAAGAGATATTTGTATATGCATGTTCATAGCAGCAGTTTTCACAATAGCCAAAAGATGGAAGCAATGCAAGTAACCATCAGTGGATGAATAGGAACAATTATGGTATATACATACAGTGGAATATTATTCAGCTTTAAAAAGGAAGGAAATTCTGACACATGCTACAACATAGATGGACTTTTAGGACATTATGCTAAATGAAATAAGCCTATCACAGAAGGACAAATATTGTATGATTCCACTTGCATGAGGTATCTAGTGTAGTCAAATTCATAGCGACAGAAAGAACAGTGATGGTCAGCAGCTGGAGGGAGAAGGGAATATTAATAAGTGAGTACGGTGATTCAGTTTTGCAAGATGAAGAGAGTTCTGGAAATGGATGGTGATGATGGTTGTACAACAATGTGAATGTACTTAACACTACCGTATACTTAAAAATGGTTATGATGTTAAATTTTATGTTATCTGTATTTTACCACGATAAGAAAAATTGAAAAAGAAAAAAATGAATGAGTACAGACAATAAGAAGTGTTGCTGAGGGTGTGGAGAAATTGGAACCCTCATACATTGCAGGTACAAATGTAAAATGGTACAGCTGCTTCGGAAAAGTTTGGCAGTTCCTCAGAAGGTTAAACAGAGTTTCCACCTATTGCTCCTGCTAGATGTTCTAATCTCATCTAATGTTGCACCCCGGGGTACCTTACACTCTAACTACCAAATGACTTACAGTTTCTGAGTGCAGCCTGCTACACCATCCCATTTTGTTCTTTACCCAGAATGCTGTCATTCTCCCTTATTTCCACCTTTTCTGTTTCTGGCGAAGTCTTACTCGAATCATAAAATTCTTCACAAGTATTTCCAATTATTTGGAGTCTTCTCTGACCAACTTCAGCGACCATTTTTTCTGTTCAAACAAACAGTTCAGCCTTATTTGTATATATACAGCTGTGCATCGCTTAATGACAGGGATCTGTTACAATAAATGCATTGTAGGTGATTTTGTCATTGTGCAAACGTCATAGAATGTACTTACACAAGCCTAAATGGTATAGCGTGCGACATACTTAGGCTATAAACCTGTACAGCATATTACTGTACCAAATACTGTAGGCAGTTGTAACACAATGACAAGTATTTGTGTATCTAAGCATATCTAAACATAGAAGTAAAAAATGTTACCTGCATAGGGCAGTTACCATGAATGGAGCTTTCAGGACTGGAGTTGCTCTGGGTGAGTCAGTGAGTGAATAGGGAGTGAATATGAAGGCCTAAGACATTATTATACCAACTGTAAATTTCATAAACACTGTACACTTGGACTACACTAAATTTATTTTAAAAACTTTTTTCAATAATAAATTAACCTTAGCTTAGTATAACTTTATCAACTTTTTTTTACCTTTTTTAACTATTTTGTAATACTACTTAGCTTAAAAGACAAGTCATACATTGTACAGCTATACAAAAATATTTTCTTTCTTTATATCTGTATCCTTTAAACTTTTTATTTTGACTTCTTAAACTTTTTTGCTAAAAACTAAAACACATACAAGGCCTACACATGTCAGGATCATCAATATGACTGTTCTCCTCCATATCCTGTCTGACTAGAAAGTCTTCAGGGGCAATAACACGCATAAATCTGCTATTTTCTATTGTAACAATTCCTTCTTCTGCAATATCTCCTGAAGGACCTCCCTGAGGCCGTTTAACATTAACTTTTTTTTTCAAAAAGTAAGTAGAAGGAGTACACTCTAAAATAACAACAGAGGCCAGGCACAGTGGCTAACACCTATAATCCCAACACTTTGGGAGGCTGAGGCAGGTGCATCACCTGAGATCAGGACTTCGAGACCAGTCTGGCCAACATGGAGAAACCCCATCACTACTAAAAATATAAAAATTAGCTGGGCATGGTAGTGCATGCCTGTAATCCCAGCTACTCAGGAGGCTGATGCAGGAGAGTGGCTTGAACCCCGGAGGCAGAGATTGCAGTGAGCCAAGATTGCACCCCTGCACCCTAGCCTGACAGAGCAAGACTCTCTCAAAAAATGTAAAACAAAATGAAATAACAAGAGAGGCTGGGTGCTGTGGCTCACGCCTGTAATTCCAGCACTTTGGGAGGCTGAAGCAGATGAATCAGTTGAGGTCAGGAGTTCAAGACCAGCCTGGCCAACATGGTGAAACCTGCTCTCTACCAAAAATAAAAAAAAACTAGCCAGGTGTGGTAGTGCGTGCCTGTAGTCCCAGCTACTCGAGAGACTGAGGCAGGAGAATCTCTTGAACCCAGGAGGCAGAGGTTTCAGTGAGCCAAGATCACACCACTGCACTCCAGCCTGGACAACAGAGTGAGACTCCTTGTCAAATAAGATAAAATAACAGAAAGTACAGTATAGTAAATACTAGGTGATAGAGGTTTCTCAGCTCCATTATAATCTAATGGGACCACCATCATATGCAGTCCATCACTGACTGAAACATTATTATGTGGCACATGGCTATATCACATTCTGTAACAATTTGTTTGCATTTCTGTCTCCCTCACAAAAATATTAGCTGCTTCAGGGAAGGAACTACTCGTTATTCATCTCTGTATCTCCCGTACCTAACACATTTTCTAGCAAATAGTAGATGCATGATGATGAAAATAAATAATCATAGTAACAGCAGATATTTATTTGATACTTTGTGCCAGATATTATCAAACACACTTTACATTTATTAATTTAATCATCACAAAATCCAGTCAGTCACAAAGTAGTTAAACAGCTTCCCCAAAGTTGGCCAACAAGTAAGAAACAAGGATGGGATTTCAGCACAGACAGTCTGTACCCAGAGCCTATATTCTTAATTACTATGCAATATAGCATCACGTTTCAATAAATGGTTACACATGTAAATTAATGAATTTTATAGTTTCAGTTTCTTCTAGTCCTAAGCTTTTACCTTTTTTTTTTTTTTTTTTTTTTTTGGAGACAGGGTTTCACTCTGTTGCCCAGGCTGGAGTGCCCAGGCATGGTCACAGCTCACTGCAGCCTCTGCCCCCCTCAGGCTCAAGCAATCCACCTCAGCCTCCAAAGTAGCTGGCACAATAGGCCGCTACTGGCTAATTTATCTGTTTTTTTTTGCAAAGGATGGGGTTTTGCGCTGTTGTCCAGGCTGGTCTTGAACTCCTGGGCTCAAGCAATCCACCCTCCTCGGCCTCCCAAAGTGCTGGGATTACAGGCATGAACCAATATCCCTGACCTACCCTTTTCTAAAGTAGCATTTATTTTAGGAAGTTATGTACATTGTTGTATTTGTTTGAGTTGTCATAGATACTAATATAATTTTGATGTGGTATTAAAATAATTCCCACTGGTAATGTTTTCCTACTTAACACAGTGTAGACAGTAAGAAATCAACTATATAGCAAAGAGAAATTTACTGGGTAAAATGTGCCTAGTATTCATGCCCACTAATTCTAGAGTTGTTGCTTCTAATGCAAAGCGATGACGATGATGGTCCCATGTTAGTATTTTAGGCAGATGGAGCATCAGTCAAATCCTGGAACCGCCATACCCAGCTTTAAAATTTTACTGTATTGAGTACATAAGGCTTCCTTGTAGATACAATCTAAAATTATTCAGCAGAGCAAATGGGTTTATATTTGACAACTAGGGAGCAATGCCAGTATTTCTTTCTCTTTTGTAGTATGCCAAATATATTTAAAAATATGAGCCATAATTTTAATACCTAAAGTAACTGTTAGACTGTGCATTTTCTTATTTTAGTAATAGTAATTTCTGTTTGTGGTGAATAAGAGTTTTAAGTGTCCTAAATGTTTAATAAGAGTCAAGAAGCCTGAGGGAGAAATCAGTCTGGTAGTTTTTAATTATTAAGATAGAGCAGTTATAGGCCAGGCACGGTGGCTCACACCTATAATCCCAGCACTTTGGGAGGCCAGGGCGGGTGGATCACAAGGTCAGGAGATCAAGACCATCCTGGCCCCAATGGTGAAACCCCGTCTCTACTAAAAATACAAAAATTAGCTGGGCGTGCTGGCACATGCCTGTAGTTCCAGCTACTCAGGAGGCTGAGGCAAGAAAATGGCTTGAACCTGGGAGACGGAGGTTGCAGTGAGCCGAAATCACACCACTGCACTTCAGCCTGGCGACAGCAAGACTCTGTCTCAAAAAAAAAAGATATAGCAGTTATATTGTTACTCCTTTTCCTCTTGGTTCCCCCGCCCCCAGAAAATACTTTTTTTGCTTAATTTACTTTCTTGGTAAGAGTGAATAGAGGTTGAGTGATAGTGCCACTGCACTGATTAAATGATTTACTGGCACAAAACTATTGAGGCTTAACTAGTTGACTATTTTAATAACATCATTAAAATTTCATTTAGGTTTATTAGAGCACATCCATGCAAAGTTGGAATCTAACCATTCTCATGTCTCCTTATTATGCCTAGGGGATCTTTGAAACAGTATTTTTGCCAACTCATACTTTCTATTTTCATTCTGTAAAGATAAAACATGGAAGTGAAAACGTTTAACAAACATTAAGAACCTTTTTTGACCAGGCACTCTCCTTCGCTACAAAATTTCCACATTACCTATTTTTTAATAGCCATTTTTGAACTCTTCCATTTCTAAGTTTCTCCCTGAAGCTTTCCTGAACATGAAGCGTTTCCTTTTCATTTCTAGCTTTCCTTTCTCTGTACCTCATGTACACTTGGAAGCTTCAGGGATTTAGCACTGGTCATGCTAGCCTCTACAGATCGCATCTCTGTCTGTAGTTGGGTCTCCATGGTAATGAGAAGCAGAAAGTGCTGAAGCAGCGCACTATGTAAGGACTGGCAAGAGAAAATACTGCCGCGGCCTCTACAGGCATAGCATTGAATCCCCATGGTGCCGAAGAAGCCTGAGAGAAGCATGCTAGTGGGGTAGTGCGGGAGACTAAGGACACAGACTTGGCAGATTTATTAGCAGCAATATTCTAAGATGAACCAATTTTAAGAGTTTGTAAGTGTTCTTTTCAATTGGAAAAGACCTTTAAATTTTTTTTCCTTTTCTTTTAGGAGGCCAGATGCTCCAGTGCCTGATGGTGAAAGTGAAAAAACTGTAGAAGAAAGTTCAGATAGCGAATCTTCTTTTAGTGACTAAGCTTAATTTTGAGAAGAATTACATATGCATGCATAGGGGTACATTTACATTCTGTAAGAGATGAGCCTGAACTCTCTTAGTCATAAGAACATCGAATGGCCACATGTCCACTACCAAGCTTCTTCTATGTTAAAAATAATAATAATAAAGCATTTTTAACTTGCCGGTGTGTCTTGTCGCTAAAATAAAGGGCCTCGAAATGAAAAATAGGATAACCTAAATAAAGTACAATTAGTGCTACACATACTAAGATGGAATATTTTAGAGATGCAATGAACAATTACGGCCAGGCACAGTGGCTCACCCCTGTAATCCCAGCACTTTGGGAGGCCGAGGCAAGTGGATCACCTAAGGTCAGGAGTTCAAGACCAGCCTGGGCAACAACATGGTGAAACCCCGTCTCTACTAAAAATACAAAAATTAGCTGGGCGTGGTGACAAAAATTAGCTGGGCATGGTGGTGGCTGCCTGTATTCCCAGCTATTTGGGAGGCTGAGACAGGAGAATCACTTAAACCCAGGAGGTAAAGGTTGCAGTGAGCCGAGATTGAGTCATTGCACTCCAGCCATGGCGACAGGAGCGAATCTCCATCTAAAAAAAAAAAAAAAAAAAAAGCGATGCAATGAACAATTTTAAATGAAGTCAGTGTGAGTTTAGTGATCAATAATAGACCCAATGCAAAAAAAAAAAAAAAAAGTGAATTTGGCTAAGTGAATTATTCAATTTTTGTGAATATTTTGGTGTGAAAAGTATATGGATTCATATCATGAGTTGTTAAAGACATTTCTGGTAGAAAGTAATACTGGGTTGAAATTTTCTGTGACAACTTAAAACTCACATATCACATATGTTATGGGTATGGAACTTTTTGGTAGTATTTTTTAGCATACACAGCCTTTCACCACTTGGCCATTAGTTCATATGTGTTTTTAAGTCAGATATTCTTATACAGTCATGCATTGCTTAACAACAGGGATACATTCTGAGAAATGCGTCGTTAGGCGATTTTGTTGTGCAAACATTGTGGATTTCGTCACAAATGTACTTAAACTATTGCTTCTAGGCTACACACAGCATGTTACTGTACTGAATACTGTAGGCGGTTGTAACACAATGGTATTTGTGTATCTAAATGTAGAAAAGGTGCAGTCAAATGTGGTTTTATAATCTTAGGGGATGTTGACCAAAACATTTTGCAGCGCATGACTGTATTTATTAGCAGATGGAAATTGAAGGTCATTTCAGTGTGGTTCAGAATGAGTAACCATCATTGCCATCAACTCCTGTATTACCTAAACAAAAAAAATTTGCGCAGCAGGATTAAAATGTTCTCACCTCACCTTGCAAATAAGTAATTATTATTCACAGTTACTTATACACAGTCTAGAAAATTCCTAAAGTACTTATGTGAAAAAATATATAAATGCATTTAACTAATTGTGCCTGTTTTAGTTTAGTTCACCTGAAAGTAGAGCCTGAGAAAAGGGCTTGTGTGTATAAGGTCATTTGCAAGGTGATCCCAGAAAACAGAAGTGAAGAAACAGGGAGTGGAAAAGGGAGAAAATCACTTAAAAGTATATTATCAGCCGGATGCAGTAGCTCATGCCTGTAATCCCAGCACTTTGGGACGCTGAGGCAGGTGGATCACTTGAGGTCAGGAGTTTGAGACCAGCCTGGCCAACATGGTGAAACCCTGTCTCTACTAAAAATACAAAATTTAGCTGGGCGTGGTGCGGGTTCCTGTAATCCCAGCTACTGGGAGGCTGAGGCAGGAGAAGCACTTGAACCCGGGAGGTGGAGGTTGCAGTGAGCCCAGATGGCACCACTATACTCCAGCCTGGGTGATAGAGTGAGACTCTCAAAAATAATAAAATTTAAAGAGTGTGTTATCAAGATTGACAGTTGGGGTTTGAGTGCTCCAAGACCTTCTGAGGAACTTTTAGAATGCCTCCCAGAGTTTTTCAACTAATAGAACTGGGAACATTTATTAACCAGTTTCCATCCCCCATTAGTTAAGAGTTGCCTCCAGGGTCGTTAATTATCCTTGCACTTCCGGGCTGTGCTTCTGTGTGGGAAAGCAGCACCCCAGTGTTGAAGAAAGACTTGGAACAGGAAGCAGAAAGATACATGGCTTTGACTTGCAGTGGGATTTCACCAACAGAAAGGACAAGTCTGAGCTTACTCACCTAGAACTATCCATGTAGCTGTGACTGATACTGGAAGTGGACGACGGAATGTGCAAAAGAGATATTTGCTGCAGTCTACCCAAAAGCAGTCAGTTCAGAACTGCTTGAGTCCCATGTTAAGTCTACTTTGTCACAAGGTGATAGCCAGCCACAGTCTTTCTAAAATCTACACAGGAAGATTAGTGAGACAAGCCACAGTTACTATCACTACAACTGGACGCAAGGCCCAAACTGGTACTTAACATCTTCTTCCACCACCCGTTTTACGTTTCTCCTGCTCTATATCAGAAATTCCGCTGGTCTAGGCATTCCTATTTCTTTTCTCTTGGTTCCTGGATCCATGAATCCTGGCAGTTGAGGACATGGCATCATATACTAGCCATTTTTGTAGTGCATTTACCACATCCTAGAGTTTAGCATTTCAACCCTGCAGAATCTCTGAGATGGTGCCTACAGTGAGCCTATAATAGACCATTTCATTGTTCTATTTGATTGATTTCTTCTGGATAATGTTGTATGCGGTAAGACCAGTGGATCCAACAATTCATGCACCTATTGTTACTCATTTGCTACAAAATAATCCGAAGATCTGAGGCAGTGTAATGCAAGATACCATGTTGGTAATAGGCATCGTGTAGGCTATCAGAGAGCAATGCTGGCAGAGGTGCCACTGGAAGGAAAGGAAAGCCCCTGTTAAGAGTAGTAATTAATTACAATAAGAAAGAATTACTCCTCTTCCAGGGTAGAAGGAATTTAATGCAAATAAATTGCTCCCAAGTGACTGGTTAACCTCTTCAAGGAATAGTACCAAATCATTGGTCTCTGCTGCTGACAAATAGGGTATTCAGCAGTAGCTGAATCCTAGCTCGTCTAGCTCATCACCAGATGACCATTAGTGTGGAAGCCCAAGCTGTTGAGCCCAAGCATAGCCGGCATCTCTACCACCATGATTACTCCATTTGTGGGCTCATTGTGTAACCTGGGGCAATCAAGGACAAGGCTAGCTGACATCCACTGGAGAAATCATCCTGTCCACCTAATTTTTGCCTCCTCAAGTGAGTGTTTTCTTTCTGACATTTCGTCCTACAAAAATCTTCACACTTTGTGCACATTCCTATAGTTTTGTCCACATTCTTCATCCTTAAATCTCGCTTTCTCTAATCTTCAATATCGCTCCCTCCTTATCCCTGACCAGCCAAGCCAGTTACCAAGATCAAAAGTCTATAGTACTTAACTCAGACTACATGCTTCTTCAGCAACATCATGACAAAATGTACTGTTTGAAGCTGTGTCCATCAGGAAGATTATTTTCCCCACCACTAATTGTTAGAGCCACCTCTGTCAGAGGCAGCAGTGTGGCAGCCAGCCATTTTTGCCCACACCAATATATCAAGCTTGTCCATGCATCAACAAGGTCCACTGTTTCCTGTCAGCTGTTGAGCTAATATTGCAAAAGTAACTTCAATTATTCACTTTCTCCCTATTGCATGCCTTTTGCCATATGTTTGCATTGCCCTCCCCCTCTGAATAGAGCATTTGGCCTCAACTTTTGATTCTCAACTTAGCCAATGGAATATTAACAAATGTGATCCAAGCAGAGGCTTGACAAATACTTAGTTGGTCTTGCCTTTTCTTGTGGCTCTGTTATTGACATAAGAACATGACTTGGATAGTCTAATGAGGATGAAAGATGCATGGAGCAGAGATGAGTTGTTATGTCCATGTATCAGCCAACCCAAGACATGAGCAAGACCAGCCAAGGTCAGAAAACCTACCTAGCCAATTCTCAGCTGGCTGTGGATGTGAATAACAAATACTCACTGTTGATTATCATACAGTTTTTTGTTGTTCTTGGTTGTTACCACATAATTGTAGCAATAAATAACTGATACAATTGACCACTGAAGATTCTCCATGAGATCATACAAGTAAGTTGAAGAAAAGGCATTAGTGTAAGAGATGTAAATGATACGGGAAATAAATGATAGGTCTACTATAAATACAAAAATTAGCCAGGCGTAGTGGTGCGTGCCTGTAGTCCCAGCTACTCAGGAGGCTGAGGCAGGAGGATCGCATGAACCCAGGAGGTGGAGGCTGCAGTGAGCCGAGATGGCACCGCTGAACTCCAGCCTGGGCGACAAGGACTCTGTCTCAAAAAAAAAAAAAAAAAGACTACACTGTGAGAGAGAGCAGGAGAGCTAACATAGTTCTGGAGCAATCAAGTTAATACATATTGCTATCCTTTCCATATAAATATAAACACTTTTGATATTCCTAATGATTGAAAAAATGTTTGTCAGAACAAGAGCCACATATCATGCAGAGGCTGTGTTGATCTGTTCCAGGAAAGGTACCATACTTGACATGGTAGACATGATTGGCACTATCACTTTATTAAGTTGATAATATCCCCTTGTCTTCCACCATGGCAAATGCCATACAGGTAAATGCAGAAGATGCTACCTCTGCATCCTGTAAGTCTTTGGAGGTGGTGCTAATCTCCAAAATTCCACTCAGAATGCAGTATTGTTTCTGGTTTGCTGTCTTGGCTGGGATACGGAAGGTACAATTTTAGGGATTTTTCACTTGATCCTCTCTGCCACAGTGGATTTTTTTTTCCATAGGTCAGGAAACTAACAAGAAGCTATTAAGAATATTTATCAGGTATGCACTAGAGACCAGGGAAACAATCAGAGGGACCCCGCTGGAGCAACTGAAAATACTGTGAAATAGACTAGAGCCCAAACTCCATCTATTCCCTGGTATCCACTCTATTTGGTGTGGTGTCCACTCTATTTGAGGGACAATGAGGACAATTTTAGATCACTTGATATCAAGCAGCTGAGCCCTGTATACAACAACCTTTGCGAAGATCGAGTATTCCACTTGTTTCACTTTGTGAAGTGGTTCAAAGTCCTTTGAAGAAAGATTGGGTGAATGTTTACCGTATATACTCCTGGTGACATAGGTAGCATTTACT